ACAAATGGGCTTTTTTTCCAAAGCACCGGCACCTTGACGGTTCAAATAACCTCGTAGTTGAAATACCCTCGTAAAATTGTATTTTACTCTCGTACCTTTTGAGGTGCAGAACTTCAATAAATTCAAAACATAAAATTTTAATTCACTGTGATTGTATATTGAATTAATCAAATAATAACCTTTCTTAACATAACCGAATAAACATTTTAAATTCCGTAAAAAGTAAACATTGAAAAATCCTTTATCCTTGTTTTGGATTAAGGATTATGCGTGTTTACCTCTAATCGATATTCCCATTTTAAAACAAAAGCATAAACAAATGTTTATGGTAAAAACAATCCTTTTTAATAACAAGCTATTTTAGTAGTAAACAAACAGTATTTTATGATGTTCGGCGGATTTAGGAAGTAAGACACAAAATAAGAATCTTCGCTTATAATTTTTAGTAGAGGGTTGAAAACTCACATTTATTCACGATCTTTGTGTTAACCCTGTTAACTCTGTTAGGTCCTGTTAGATCGATAAAAATGTTGACGTAGACTTGTAAGAATCGGCTGATTAACATTGCTCGATCTAACAGGCCAGGGCCAATGTTATATGTTAGGTGGAAAATGTAGTCACATTGCTAGCCGTTAGGGCGAAGGTAACAACATGGCAGCCATGAATTTAACAGTTGTTTTTTGTTTACATGTATTGTTATTCTTACAAACTCATTAATTAAATCCGACCAATACATTTCTTTTGTTAATTTCTGACCTGTCCTTATACTCTTATTCATAATAGTTACAGCCCCAATCCTAAAAGTTGTAGGCGGTTAGAGGTTAGGATACAGGTTAAGTATGTCGGCACGAATTGAAGCATGATCTTTTTTACTTTTTGAGTGTATAGATCATTTTGAATTAAAGAGTTGATAAATTATAACTGATATTCCCAACTTACAAACCATAGCATAAACAATGAGACAAATTAAAGGCAGAATTTTCTTTTATCTAGAAAACGAAAAAAAAAATCAATTGGGTGGATTTTTTTTCATCTCTGTGTATATCAAGCTTGCCATTAACATCATCAACATTATTTTGTTAGATCTTATTGTATTCTTTATTATATACAAAACATAAAACCAGTTTTTTTGAAAAATATAACTAGAGGCAGCCATCTTTAATATATAAAAAAAATTTTTAGGCGTTTTATTCATGCGCGCACAAACATTAAAAACGTTAAATAGTAAAAAGTTCTTTAGCGATATAAACATTTTAATTAAATGTTTTATTTTGGCACAGTTATAACAGAATGGCCTCTCCGAAAAAAAAGGAATATTTTCGTAAAGATCAAGAATCTTCATCTGATAAAACTTTATTGGGAACTTAGATGGTCCTTAATCCAACAATTTTTTTTACATTTCAGCGCCTCTCTCTCATGTCAGATTCATTGTTTGAAATTTAAATTTAAATTTTAGAAACTTCACTGGAAAGTACTTTTTTTTTTAAATAGCAAGTGGCAATTTCATATGCAATCCCCCAGTCCTATTCCTTTTTTCGGCGAGTTAATCCAAATAAAAATATTTAAATGTATGGCCCACTTTTTTACATCGTTCTCGCTCTTGAATACACTATCCACTTTTTTCTTTACGAACAATCTCTAATTGTCAACGTCCACCTCGAAATTCATCGGCGAGCGTACTTTTCCATGGAGTTATTCATATCTTGTAGGAACAGCTTATCAGCTGCTAACAAAACAATGTGGTCTGCGTAGGACGGCAATTTAACTGTGACGTTATTCAACCGGATCGCCCCTCTTTACCAGTCATCGGCAAAACACGAGATTATTAAGTTCTGGGGGGACAAAAAGGGAGATTAAGAACTTCATCTGAGTGAAGATGCAATACACACTTTAAAACAATAATCTAACTTCATTCGTATAATTAATAACAGAAAATTATAATTTGTCCATTCAAAATTTGGATTAGAGCAATCAATGTTTTGTACAAATCGACTGGATTTATTTTTTAATTTACTATACATGAATCACAGTTTGATTTTAATATGTATTTCCTGAAAGAAAAACTCTGCGGTTAGCTAAATTTTCGGGTCTCTAGTTAACAGGGGTATTCACGATCTTTGTGTTAACCCTGTTAAGTCTGTTAGGTCGAGTTAGATCGAGAAAAATGATGACGTAGACTTGTAAGAATCGTCTAGTTAACATTGCTCGTTCTAACAGGCCAGAGGCAATGTTAGGTGGTAGGTCGAAAATGTAGTCACATTGCTAGCCGTTAGGGCGTAGGTAACAAACATGGCAACCATGCATTTAACAGCTGTTTTTTGTTTACAGGTATTTTTATTCTTAAATACGCGTGAATTAAATTAGACCAATGCATTTCTTTTGTTAATTTCTGACCTGTCCTTTATCACTCATTCATAGTCTAAATACCGTATCCTCTAAAGTTGTAGGCAGTTAGATATTAGGATGCAAGTTAGGTTAGGCACGATTGATGCGTGTCATTTGTTAGTACTTTTCGAGTGCATAGATAGCATTTTGAATGAAAGAGTTGATTAATTTTCCTTTTTTATTAACTTCTAACATCTTACAATTTAACACAAAACAAAACCATAACAAACAACAACAAGTCTTCAAGGACTGTTAAGTTTAATTTTTGGTTCTACCAATCGCCACTAGCAGCATTAAAAAATTAATGTTTATGTACATGAATTGTATATCCCAAAGCACTTCCTCCTGCGGCAAGTGTAGCAGCGCAGTATGTTAGTAGGTGTGTTGGTGTGTCCTCTGCCTCTTTGCAGAATCTGCATGTGCCGTCTTGGATTATTCCAATCTTCTTTTAGTGTCCATTTAGCTTGCAGCGTCCTGTTAAGGATCCTATTAGGATTCGCAGTTTATTCCTGCTTCCTTTGACAAGGTCCAATATATCCAACGAGTGAATTCCATTGTTCCTTAATTTCTTTTTGTCCTTCTGTCTGAGATATTCATTGATAGTGGGGTTTCCTATGCCACAGAATGGTTCGGGTCTTATCTGCGGTGTAGCAGCTCCTTTCCTTGCAAGGGTGTCCGCTTTCTCGTTGCCTTCTACTCACCATGTGTCCTGGGACCCCGCAGAGGCATACTTTGTTCTGCGTACCTATATGTTTAACTTGGTTTTGCAGTTAAACACCTTCATTGAACTAATGATATTTGAGCTTAGTACTCAAACGCTTCAATTCGTGCCGACATACCTTGTACACTAACGTCTAACAGCCTAAATTTTATAGGCTATAGGAGGAATGTATTATGAATGATAAGGATAGATCAGAAATTAACTAAAGAAGTGTATTAGCCTGATTTAATTAATGCGTATTTAAGAATAAAAATACGTGTAAACAAAAAACAGCTGTTAAATTAATGGCTGCCATGTTGGTTACCTACGCCCTAGCGGATAGCAATGTGACTACATTTTCGGCCTAACTAACCTAACATTGACCCCGGCCTGTTAGATCGAGCAATGTTAACCAGCCTCGTACAAGTCTACGTCATCATTTTTCTCGAACTAACACGACCTAGCAGAGTTAACAGGGTTAACACAATGATCGTGTTTAAAAAGATTTCTCATGGTTTTGATTTAAGGAAAAGTTGTTTTATCGCAGCTAAAAGTTATTTAATGACCGTTCTGTCTGAAGAGACTCAGTTGTTGGCTGATCACCCGAACAAAAAAAGGACATCGTACCAATATGTTCTTATAATCAATCTGGCTCATCCCCACCTGTTAAATATTTTAGTCACTACAGCTTATTAACACTTTTATTCTAAGCATATTAAGAAAAAGTAGTGTCAAATTATCTGACCCCCTCCTATCGACACTCAACAGGTAGTTTAACCTTAGCCCTGTATGCCATGGATAACTAATTTCCTATTCACGTAACACAAGCAAGTAATGTCGATGAAGAAGAAATCGACCACGACGATTAATGTGTTTAGGATCTGGTTTCTTGTCAGGTACAGTAATAATTAGACCATGTGATCACTCGCCAAGCTTTCGGCCTTTATAAGAGCATCATCAGGGCCTGAATAAATATTACAAGGTTATTTCATTAATTACAATTTTTTTGTTTTGTTTTAAGTTGCAGTATCATAATTCACATATTAACATTAAGGAATGACGAAAAAACCGGTCGACTTCGACTACGAGGTCTCGAACTATATGAGGTTGGTTAAGTAGAAATTAAGACAAGTTTTTTCAGTTTTTTACGTAATTGATGTAAAATTAGATTAAACCAACAATTTCAATAGTAAAATAGGTCGTTTTTTAAAAAGATTACCGAGGATAGAGGTCACCCCAAAATGAATGTGATACCAGTAGTCATAGTGGTATGAATCTTTTAGAAATATCAACCCCAAAAGTTTCAAAACCTGGAATTTCTCCTAAGCTGAAGTTAATGTTAAAAAAGTATTTGCCGGATGCTTTTGTAGTGCATAAATTCAGTGATAAGTTAAGCCAACTACACACAAAATGTAAAGCAAATTATATTGCTAAGTGTTCGAATGCGGTGTACCAAATACAAAACTGTGAAGAAACATATGTTAAGAAAAAAAAAGATCGAAAACTAGATTAAACGAACATAAATTAGACACTAATGATTAATATAGACCAGGTACAGCGTTATCAAAGCACTCGAAAGAATATAACCATCAATTTGCAGAACCTCCCTGCATTTTTGGGAGACCACTATCCTCGGTAATCTTTTTAAAAGCGACCTATATTACGAGTGGAATTGTTGGTTTAATCTAGTTTTACATCAATTATAGAAAAAACTGAAAAAACTTGTTTTAACTTAACCAACTTCATGTACTTCGAGACCTCGTAGTCGATTCGTCGGGGTTTTGTCGACATTCTGTAATGTTAAAGTGAGAAATATGATGCTGTAAGTTAAAACAAACCAAAAAACTTGCTATTGAATGAACTAATATTGTAATATTTATTCACGCCCTGATGATGCCTCTTATAAAGGCCGAAAGCTTGGCAAGTCTACTTCTTTCTCTATCTGGCCAGAAACCAGATACCAAGCAAGCAAGCAAGTAGTAGTTATACTGATTTGGTATAATTACTAATAAATTATGTCTGTGACATGAGTGTTTTACCTTGAAGTCTTCTGTAAGCTTCTCGGTCTCTCACGCTTCTCTTTTTCTCCCCCTCTCAGGCGCTTTCTTTCCCTCACACTCTTTTTTCTCTCTCTATTTTAAAATAAAACTATGAGGTGTATTTTTAAGAAGGGCTATCCTCAGTGTACAAACCGTCGGAATGAAATCTGCAAAGAGGAGAAGGAAGAAAGTATGCCGACGGTGGGAGAGGCGGAGGAGTGAGAAAGTTCTGCGCTATGAGAGACTTCTCTTGTCAGGTAGTGTGGGACCGGGCGTCGGAGACGGCTCCCACGCATGATCGCCGCCCAAGAGCCCTAATATAAATGTCTTATTTGAAGGGGGGAAAAAATCCTCCTCGACCTACTTTCCATTGCGAATTCCGCCCGCCGTGGGAAAACCGTGGAAATCCCCTCATCTACAATGATTTGTTCCCGGCAGTTTCCATTGGATTTTTTTTCCTCCGCTTCGCCTAGGCTCGTGCAACTCGAACTGCTCTTGTAACTGTAACCAATGGTAAAACAAACAGAATTTCTTTGCTTACTCACCATAATTTTACCCTGGCGGACACTCTTCATTAACATTCTGAAACATAAAACAATAGTTTATTATTCCGAGAAAGGTTTCGAGAAAAAACACAAAAATTGCAGTAGTAAAAAAATATATCAAAAACAGTATGAAGAAAGATAGATAGGTTCGAAAATTTAGGGGAAGAGTCAGTGTGACATAAACATTCGGAAAAATACTACTTTTTAAGAAGTTAACGGTTAATAACATACAAAGGGCAAATTATATTTAACTGTCTTTTCCATGGTTTAAAGTAGGAAAGCACTACAAACGTAGTATTATAGGGATATTCACGATCTTTGTGTTAACCCTGTTAAGTCTGTTAGGTTGTGTTCGATCGAGAAAAATGATGACGTAGACTTGTAAGAATCGGCTAGTTAACATTGCTCGATCTAACAGGCCAGGGCCAATGTTGGATGTTAGGTCGAAAATGTAGTCACATTGCTATCCGTTAGGGCGAAGATAACCAACATGGCAGCCATGAATTTAACAGCTGTTTTTTGTTTACACGTAATTTTATTCTAAAAATTAACGTTTAACATGCTAAGAAATGAAGGGGGGGATTCACGATCTTACTGGTCATTTCTATATTCGAGTTATCATCTTACAAACATCGTGAATACCCCAATAATATAAAAAATTATTGTTTGAGAGATTGTTTTAAGTTATTTTTTCCTTTACATGATGTTCTTTCTTATATGATTTTATTTTGAGGAATTTACCAAGTCTTCACTTTATATAGAATAACTGAATAAATATTCTTTTGTTTGTAAATAAGGTCTTGGTTGAAATGAAAAATTAATGTCATGAGCGGTATTCGAACCCACGACCTTTTCAATTCGCCGCGGCTCTCACTGCTGCTGATCCACCCATCTTACAACGTTTCCAATTTTCCCTCCTTTTCGCGATTTTTCAATGGCAGGTTGAGATGAGTTGAGAGGTAGTTGTGTCCGAGTGGATCGAAGTCTCGATAGCTCAAGTAGTTAGAGCTGCTGCATATTGAGCCGAAGGTCGTGGGTTCGAATCCCGCTCGTCTCGCTAACTTTTTCATTTCAACCGAAACCTTACATACAAAGAATAATTAATTGGAAGAACTAATTTGGTCAATCAGACCACTAAATATAATTAATTATTTTCTCTGTTTTCCACGGTTTTATTCTGTTGATAGCTTTCGAGCCCTCGCTCTCTCCAAGAGTCTTATCATTTGTTCTAGGTCTTATCATGACTCTTCCAGTGTTTTTAAAAAAAAAAACCTAATTGTAAGTACACTGAGTTCAAATTCAGGGCTGGATTCGAACCCGGGACCCTGTCAACTGTGTAACCATTAAGGCCACCTACGCCCCATATAACTGGATATTTCCTTACTGTTTATCTCCAGAATAGAAATATTGCAAGATTATAGCACAGGATGCTGACACATGGTTACACAACTATCACCTTTAATCTACAACCTACCAACTAAAACTGGCTTATTAAAAATAACCCTGGTGATTTTTTCATCTTTCGGTAGTTTTTCAAGGAAGAATAATAATGAGAACAGAACGACCTGAATTACCAAATTGACCGTATACGAGGTATTAAATTAAAACGTCTTTTCCATGACAATTAAAGTACATTTTTCGATAATTAACTGATATCCTAGGAAAACGTAAATGTCAATAGGAACCTTTCAAGAAAACTTTTTGGATGTTTTTTTATAATTTTAATCGAATACTTCTAGGCATTTAATTAGTGTTGGCGATTCTAAAGGCTTGGACCAATAATCTTGTTTTCATATTTTTCCCACCATTATTACAAACAAAGACGGTTCTTTATCAGCATTTAATGACCACGTGAATTAAATATCATTCTATATTTACATTCCATAGCAAAGGCCAACAATTTTTTTTAATCTAATAGAAATCGAGAGTAAAATAACAAGCACATTACTTTTGTTGAGGTGGGTCGTTTTAATACGAAAATGAAAATTTCATAGCAAGTTTGCTTGATGTACACTAGTGTTCTGATATAAGTTTTTCCTGTAATAACAAAAAAAATGTACTGGTTATTATAAATATGGGAAAAGTCTTGTAGGTATGTTAGGTCATGTTAGATCGAGAAAAATGATGGCATAGATTTCTAACTATCGGCTAGTTAACATGCTCGGTCTAACAGGGGCCAATGTTAGATGTTAGGTCGAAAATGTAGTCACATTGCTAGCCGTTAGGGCGTAGGTAACCAACATGGCGGCCATGAATTTAACAGCTGTTTTTTGTTTACAAGTATTTTTATTATTAAATTAATAATTAAATTAGACCAAGACATTTCTTGAGAAGATTTCGTTTATTCTAAAATCAGTGTAAAAGTTTCTTGAAAATAACTTGGTAACATTTACTCCAAATTAAAAATCATTTACACTGATGAATTCCGCTAGAAAGATCCATTTAAAAAATGTGCATTGATGAGCATCTAGCTATTTGAGGTAGTTACGTTCCAATCCGTATCACGCCATCCTGGAGCGATAAACTACACTTTTACGTTTTTCAAAAACCGCCATAATAAAAAAAAATAAGATTTCAACATTGGGTAGAGAATCACAAAGATCAATATGAAGCTGAGTTTAGGAAGGGTTATGGCACAATAGATGATATTTTTAATATATGAACGATAAGGGGTACTCACGATCTTTGTGTTAACCCTGTTATGTCTGTTAAATCCTGTTAGATCGAAAAAATGATGACGTAGACGTGTTAGCATTGTTCGATCTAACAGGCCAGGGCCAATGTTGGATGTTAGGTCGAAAATGTAGTCACATTGCTAGCCGTTAGGGCGTAGGTAACCAACATGGCAGCCATGAATTTAACAGCTGTTTTTTGTTTACATGTTTTTTCTTCTTAAATACGCATTAATTAAATCAAACCAATACGTTTCTGTTGTTAATTTCTGACCTGTCCTTATGTCCTTGACACATCCCCTATCCGATAAAGTTGTAGGTTGTTAGACGTGCAAACACTGCTTGTTGTGTGCAAATATGAGCGAAATAAAATATGAAAAAGACATATTAAAAAGTTAGGAATATATTTTTCAGTTGAAGACTTAAAACCGTTAAGGGAAGATTATTTGGGGATGGATCACTTTCACAGGAAGTTATGGGCACGTTCAACACCTTCGCCGTTTCGTCAACACCCCCGCCGGACGAGGTTGTAAAAATAAGCGGAGGTCAATTCCGCATAAGCAAAAAAAAAGAGAAAAAACTTGGGTGTGGTAGAAGAAAGTCCGAGAAGGGTCTTAAAATATCGATTGACCCGCCCCAAGCCAAATGGATTCGCGAGTTGGGGTCACGTTCGCGGGGAGAATTTCCTGTGAAATCCGCTTCAGACGGACGGGGCCGCGGTGCAGGGGCGTTCTATTCTTGGTCGAGGCCGAGAATGCCTCAAGACAGACATGGGCCCCAAGACGGCCTATTATAAGATTTAGCTCTCCCGCGGGCAGACGACCCCGGGGGGCGGTCAAATCGTTACGGCCATTCCGCGAGAAAACATCAAAGGACGTAATAATTTTCAGTAATGATGTAAAATTGTTTCTCATCTGCCAGACCGCCACCCATTTGCCCCAGTCATCAATCCAACATATACACCAACTGGATCAAAAAAGACTAGTTCATTATAAACTGGAACATTGACTGAGAGCAATATAAGACATAATTCCAACTAAACCTGACCACAGGGTAAATTGCAACTTAAATCAGGTGACGATCTTTGTGTTAACCCTGTTAACTCTGCTAGGTGTTAGATCCAGAAACGTAGACTTGTAAGAATCGGCTAGCTAACATATGCTCGATCTAACAGGCCAGGGCCAATGTTGGATGTTAGGTCGAAAATGTAGTCACATTGCTAGCCGTTAGGGCGTTTCCGGTTTTTTGGTGAAAAAGCTACCCTACGGACAAAATGTTCCGGTCTCAGATTCATCTACATTGCTCACAAGAAAATCTCTTTTAAAACAATCGACAGGTTTAATTGTAAAATAAAAGCTTTTTCCAAACCGCAGTACATAAGGCCAGAATATTATTGGTAATCATTGATAAAATATTTATTTTAGTTTTTACTTAATTTGAGGTCTGAGCTAGTAGAGGCATTTTCTAAAACACGGAATGAATATTTCCAGTTGCCGCGAAAAATTACTCGTGTTAACACGTTAAACAATAGGGCAATTCACGATCTTTGTGTTAACCATTTTAAGGTTAGTTAACATGCTCGATCTAACAGGCCAGGGCCAATGTTGGATGTTAGGTCGAAAATGTAGTCACATTGCTAGCCGTTAGGGCGTAGGTAAACAACATGGCAGCCGTGAATTTAACAGCTGTTTTTTGTTTACAAGTATTTTTATTCTTAAATACGAATTAATTAAATCAGACCAATACATTTATTTTGTTAATTTCTGTCCTACTCTCATTCATAATATATACATCTCCTATCCTAGACATTTTTTCCTTTCCGTTTTATTTTCATATAGGAATTTATGAAGTCTTTACATTTTATTGAATAACTGAATAAATATTATTTTCTTTGTGTGTAAGGTCTTGGTTGAAATGAAAAAGTTAGTGCCACGAGCGGGATTCGAACCCACGACCTTCGGCTCAATACGCCGCTGCTCTTACCACTTGTGCTATCGTGACTTCGACCTACAACCTTTCGAATTTTCCCTCCTTGCCATTTTTCAATGGTGAGATGACCTGTCCTTATACTCTCATTCATATTAGTTACAACCCATATCCTCTAAAGTTGTAGCACGTTAGACGTTAGGATTACAAGTTAAGTATGTCGTCTCGAATTGAAGCAAGTCTTTTGGTAGTACCTTTCGAGTGCAAAGATAGCATTTTGATAACAAAACCATAACAAACAACAACAAGCATTCAAGGACTGTTATAGCTTTATTTTTGCTTCTACCAATCGCCACGAGCAGCGGAAAAATTAACCTTTAGCATGCTAAGAAAAGTTGACATCTTAGAAACATCTTGAATACCCCTAATATTAAAGCTA